TGACTCAAGCACCTCCAACTGTACAGCCAGGAAGCTGCTGAGGAGCTCTGCTCACAGAGCAGCGCCCTCCAGAGGTGGATCTAAGGAGCGTGCTGTGACCACATATTCCAACTGAAGAAGAAGTGTTCTCACCAAAGAAGAGGTGTGTACTTACGCCCAGAGTCCTTCCTCTGCAAACATCTTGGGGACGCCCTGTCTGAGGGTGTTGGCGTAGCCGGGCTGAGTCTGGATTCGAACCTTCACAGCCTCCATGGGAGCCAGAGCAATGTCAGCGAAGAACTCTGCACTAGCTGAAGCAGCCAGGTACAGCGATGTCCTCCACAGGTAGGTATTTTCCTGGTTGGTGAGACCACAAGATGACAATATAATCAACTTCAGCTGTCAGCTGCATGTTTAAAGCTAAGGACCAGTAAAATGTTTGTTGATCCCCATAATTAAGATTGGAGAGGTTATCCCAGATTCAGGGATAACCTGTGGAGAGGGTTACCCATCAACCCTTTTTCACATTAAATGAAATCAAGGTGTGTATATCTGCACTACATGCAGGGTGTTTGGATAAATGCATCAACAGGTGATTGGCTGAGCTTGCTTTTTTAACAGTGGCCACCGTACTTATTTCAGTAATTGAGTAATCAATTATTCTGTTGATTAATAGAGTAATCTAATAAAAAAAACTTTATAAAGTAAAATACCTGTAAATACTGCCATAACAGAAGTATTAATACTGGCCCAAATTTTCATTCCTTACAATTACTTTACTGTAGCTTAGGAAATAATTAAACAGCATGCTGACAAAGACACAGACACAAAAAAAACTCCAGTTTTTAGTTTCTGTGTTCATCTTCAGTCAATTTAATAGACTCACTTTGTTTTGTTCACATGGATAGCTTTTGTATCCAGGTGAACAAGAGATCTTTGTCACCTTCGTCAAACACAGAAACACCGGCCAGCTACGTAAACGCCATGGTGCGCTCCGTCACCCAGTTATTATGACCAGGGTGGTAGGAAAATTATTTTCTGGTTCATTTACAAAACTACACTGAAGCTAAGCATCAGCTACGGTGCTGGAGCGCAGCCCCCTGCCTTCTGTCTGACTGCATGTGCCTTAGCGGTTTGCCTCCGCTCCACCTGTATTCATACAGCCGCCGTTCTCTCCAAACCAGCTGTTCAGTAGACAGTCCACTTAAGGATGGCCCAAAAAATGTCAAGAACCTGGACCGGGGAAAAGATGACGCTTGGTCACAATATGTTATGCTATTAGCACTTAGCATTCATCAAAAACTTATTGGCAGAAGTGTGAATGTTGACAAAAAATACAATTATCCAGCCAAACCACAGGGCATTAAATAGTAAAACAAGCTAGTGAAGGTTTGAGGCAGATAATTTGCCTCAAGGATTTCATAGAGGTATTCGAATCATTCAATGAATTGTCACAGCCATAGTATCTGGGAAGGAGACGTGAGAGGTTGGGTGAAGGGAGCAGATGTCAGAACTGTGAGCCCCCATCCGCGCTGAACTCACCTCCCCCAACATGTCGCTGTAGAAAATCTTGAAGACCTCATAGAAGCCAAACTTGCACAGTCCCTGCATGGAGTAGCCAATGAAAGTAGGGGCCCAGCCCTTTGCTAGACCTCTCACACCATCCTCCCTGATAGTCACTGCAAAACCATTGCCGATGCTCTTGTATTTATCTGGATTCACCTAAGGAGAAAAAGAGATACAGTGATCACCAAGGCAAAATAGGAAGAAAACGTTCGGAAATCATTATGAAGTACTTCTATTTTGGAACCTGCTGTCACAGGCAAGTGTTGCCGTGAAGTCCCACATGCCTTGAGCTCTCCCACCATGTCTTACTGAGACAAATTTGTTTGTCAAGGATGAAAACTGCCAATCATGGTTACAACATTGATAAAATCAGTGCAATTTAATCCTAAATTCACTGTCAGCTTTTATATAAATCTGACTTACATTCTGAAGTGAGTGGGGTCTCTTACATCTCAAAGTTTTGCAGAATCTGCTTACATTACTGAACACTTGGGGAAGTCGTTCATTTCCCAATGGTTAGCTTTTGTTCCCATACACACCTGCATACGGCACTTGACAAGGTCGAGGGGCACCACTGCGGTGTGTGTGATGCCGCAGCTCAGGATACCACCAAAGCCACACAGGGCATAGTACTTGGAGGAGCCAAACTCGCAGCTGACATCCTCTGTGGTACAAAGGAGGGACACGACACACATGCAGCATGCCAGGTCACATGCAATACAGGAAAAATAATCACAAAATATACAGGGTTATGATGGAAGAGTCACAGCAGCTGGGAAACTGCTGCTGTGAAACCAGCAGGAGACCTTTCCTAATCATTGCTTCCATCAATGTATGAGCTCAGTGCTAGGACTCTTCCAGCATAAACTCTGCCACCAACATGCAAATGTGTATTAGGATCACTCAAAAGAACATAAAAAAAACCAAACAAAACATAATCATCACTTTACAGAATCAACCACCATGGAGATTCAACTTTATTGTTCTTTAAATCAATTCAGTCTTTGTTTGCCAACTTAAAATGTAGCCGTTGTTTTCTTCTCAGACAAACTGAACAGGTCCTTCAAAAGAGCAGTGTGTACAGTTTTAGTTCATTCCGAACTAAAAACTGCTTTATTAAAATGTTTTATGTAGATTTAGCTGTATCACCAAGTTAGAATATTAGCTAAACTGTCATTTCAGTTAATCATTTACATGAAGTCCACACAGTAATAAAAACTAAAAATGCATTTCTGTTCATTTGGCCTTCTCAAACTTAGGGAAGGTTATCCAGAAGACCAGCCATTTAGAATGAGACATTAAAGCCTCCAATTAAAAAATTAAGGTGAAGACAAGCAGAGCAATGTGTGCAATTAAATCAAATTTTGCTCTGTATTCAGCAAGTCATAAAACACATTTGAACAGTCAAATATCTCCACTAATGACTTTGGAAAGCAAAAATGCCTAGACTGTTCGCTTGAATAGATTTTTGGATGTTGAAGTTACGACACAGAGGCGTACTGTCCCAATTGTCAAATTTTTGCACGCTTAGAACCTGCGCACTTGAACTCTTCTGTGCATGTCGAGTGAGTCCACACTTAATGGAGGGGCGTAGGGTGCAGTTCAAGTACTGGGACCAGACCAAAGAGCCACACCAGTCCATGTCACAGCCCTTTTTTGTCCAGAGAATTTCTTGCAAACACTGGGTAAATCACCTATCAGCAAATCACAGTAGTGCAATTCACAGCACTAAAAACTGTAGGATTTAGGAAACTAACACAATCACTAATTATTCCCTATGAATCTTTAGTCATCCATAACAGATACATTACCTCGTCATATTTTCTGTCAACATTTTTTTAACTCAAAAACACAGCAGACTGCTGGTGGACTGCCCTACCCCAGACTTGGGTTTTCTGTGGGAAACTTTGCAGCAAGAAGGTCTTGAATCTCAGCCTAGGCTCTTTTTGCATCACGTTTCCATGTTTTCCCTTTTATTCTTGAGTTCTTTCTCTCATCAATTTTAAGCAGTTCTCTCTAAATTGCATGCTTGGGCATGAACATGTGCATGCATTATTGTGTGTCCTGGGTCTCAGTGTTGGCCTGAGATGGACTGGAGATGTGTCCAGGATACACCCTGCATCTCACCAGGCACAAGCCTCTCACCACAAGCATAAAAAACAAGAGAGACAAAGTTTGGAGTTTCAACATCAAGTGAGAATCACTAAAGAATAAGTAAATATGCCAGTGTGGGGAATATGTTTAAATAATTGAGTTTAACTGTTTAATGATATTGCAGTTCACCGAGAAAAATCAACAACAAAAAACACCTGCATGGCATGCAGTTAAAAGTCTCAATCTGGCCTCTCTTTTTACCAGAAAGAAATCCAGTGTGCTGTCCCATACCAACTTTTACCTATCCATGTGAAAATTGTATGTTTGTTTTTATTCCTTACATATGTAATTACCTCCACTTTCAAAACATACTTGCCAGTGACAAACTGTGGAAATTCCTACACTTTCTAAACGGGTCGGCTCCACTGACCCCTGCAGTGGAACACGGGGTTTTATGGAATCATGCAGTGATATTGTCACATCAACAAAATGTGATCGGAATTAAAACAAAAACAACCTCCACCATGCAGATTAATGCTTATTAACAGAAAGGAGGAGGACTGGCGGGGATGAAGTTACATTCAAAAGAAAAAAGAAAAAAAAATAGATCGAGCTACTGCAACAGACCTGCATTCTGCATTTGACCAGGTCGAGGGGAACAACAGCTGTGTGTGTGGTGCCACAGCTCAGAATCCCACCAAAACCACACAGGATAAAATACTTCTGAGAGCCGAACTCACAACTGTCTCCCTCTGAAGAAACAAAGGTGAGGTATTAAAAATTGAGCACTTCTGCTCAGAAAGGGGAAACAAAGTAGAATTCAATACACCTGATTACGTGTTTGGGACATGAGGTCAACATGCTGTACATGTACCCTTGTCATCTGCTACAGTACTTGAAACTACGAGTAAATACGAGTAATTTGCAGCCCCTACAGTCATTTGTCCTTCGTTGTCCTCGGCATGCAGCCGGCCACAGAAGAGGCCCGATAGCAAATTGCTCCAACAATTAAACATTTAATTATTTTAAGGCTAGTAAAACAGAAGTTGGGCATTAGATAATCAGTAAATAAAGAGACCATTATTAGACTACATAATAAACTACGTCTTGTCAGGGCAAATCTATAGCTAGCGTGGCTACAGTTAGCTCTGCTGCTAACGACCCGGTTTACCGTCTGCTGTTGCAGCTGCTGCCAGTCTGCGAGGCCGTTGTCCATTGAGGCTCTGTTGGGGTTCTTCCACTTTCTGGAGGCTGAACAGAGGGGCGCCGAACGGGTTGGCTCTTGCCAGCTGCGTCAGAGAAGTCGGGTACATGGTGGCGGAGCTACGCTACAGAGATCAAAATGCAAACCATTAGCTTATGCTAACTAGTAATGAAATCCTTCACTGACAACCAAAAGCAAGTGATACAAAGTCATTGGGACATGAAATATACATCGTACTTAACAATGCAGCGTATACGTACTTGGATGTTGACTTAAATGGATATAACGTCGGTTTGTCTGCAAATTTATACCGGCCTGTCTTTTCCTCATTCAGGCCAAGACTAAACTACTGTAAAGGATAGGCTAAGCTACCTCAATGGGGCTGACCAAGGTTATAGTCCCCTTTTAAGTCCCCCTCTTCTCACACATACACACACATAATTCGAATACACTAAACACAGTTATTATTCTTCCCGTAATAAGTACTGATGTTCTATTTAATATAAAGGATTTATAACAAATAAACTTACTTTCAGTGTCTCAAGATGGCGCCTCCGCTTTTCCGCAGCCGGCTGCTCGGAGAGACTTGATGACCTCGCGGTAAATCAATTTGTCCTTTCATGACGTCATCAACCCTCCGGGCGTGATCGCTCTCTTCTTTGTCCAATAGGACAACGGTACATATATGTCGCTTATAATATTTGGACAAATCACAGAACAGCGCTGACAGAATTAGGGCGGTTCTTCTGGCGACCTCAGAATGACTTTCAAACGGATTGGCTTTGCACTTTGGCTTATGTCCCCACAAAGTTAGTCTCTTATCATCCAGGATGTTCAAAATGCAAAATGCAAAATAAAATAAAATAAAATAAAATAAAAGTCATAAAAATTGGGGGTGTCTTGAATCTTTATCGGTTGTTCTAAAAAAAAAAGTTACACACGCACACACACACAAAAGCACATTCATACATATGTATATCACATGCGTAAAATGGTTGGGGTCACACTGCCACCCACTGGGGATCTGGCAAAACAACGCTACCTGTCGAGGGCAACAAGAATCGCTAAGGTCCCCTCTATCCTCTGTCATGGATTGTTCTCTCTGGGCTGAGGTGTGTTTTCTTAGGCGTCTGCACAGGAAGTGCCCTTTTGACAGGGAAGCTGGTGTGCAGTGACCAGGTGAGAGTGTCTGCTATGTGGACCCTAAGGAACATAAGGTGCGTGACAATCTCTACAGTAGTATTCTTGATGTTGAACAGGGTGTCCACATGCCGTTTCCTCCTGAAGTCCATCACCAGTTCTTTGGTTTTTCCCACATTCCAAAGCAAGTTGCTGTTGCACCATTATACAAAAAGTTTGACCTCCTCTGAAGTGATGGGGGAAGGATGGCGGTGATGTGACCTTTGACCAGCATTTCAGGATTTTTCTGCATTTCAAGGGTTATGGTTGATTATGTATACAAGTCGGGGGTGGGCAATCCTGGTCCTGGAGGGCTGGTGTCCTGCAACTCTTAGACGTCTCCCTGGTCCAACACACTTGAATCCAACAGCTGAATCACCTCCTAAATGCAGTCAAATTCTCCAGAGTCCTGCTAATGACCTCATTTGACTCGGGTGTGTTGAAGTAGAGACGCATCTAAAAGTTGCAGGAGTCCTGGAGTTGCCCACCACTGGTATAAGTGCTACTTATACACCATATTGACTCCTGTCCCCAAATAGGAGTCAAATATGTTTACAGATCTATGCCCATTTCCTAAACAACTTGAAATATTAATGCCATGTTGTTATCTTTAAGTTTGTGTACAAACATCTTTGAATATATGGTAATGCAAGATAGTTTTGAACGACATAGTACCCATCGTCTGCCAACAAAATTGTGTGTTAACAGCAGTGAAGAAACTTTTAATGGTATGTTATGACGTAGACCAAAAAAATGCACATGAATCAACATCAATTTCAAAACATTGATTCAACACAATTATGCATCCAGATCCACATTCAGATGATGGTTGAATCAATATTAATGTCAGTTATGGTTGAAACCTCAACATTGATTCAACATGCAAGTCACTGACCACTTTCAGTATCGTTTTAATGTCGGGCTTCAATATGGATCTAATGTTTCTGCCCAACTTTGTTTCAATGTTGATTCACTCGGTTTCCTATCTGGGTTGTTTTTGTTCTAATTGACCTTTGCAAACTTGTTGAGAGGTTGAATTCTATTTTAGGTCGAGTATCTCTTCTTGTTTAATCCATTGTAAAATGTTCTTATGGTGCATTCATACCCTTCCTTGTCTAGCCTTGTGGCCTTTGTGGATGTTGTTACTAAAAACAGAAAGCTGGTGTCTATAGTAGTAACAATTCAAGAGAAAGCACAAAACAAATCCAAAACAAAGTGATAAACGCAATAATTTTCAACAGGAGGAGGATCAAAAATGGCATAATGAGGAAACTGAAACACTAAAGTTTATTTAGAGAGAAATATGGCTACATAAGAATGAAATAAAGGAATTCAATTATGTTTTACAAGAAGCCTAAAGAAAATATATCAAGAATTGAAGTTTTAAAAGCCTCTGGATTTTCTTTACAAGCCATCCTCTCATCAACAAAGATGGTCCAAGTACAAAAAACTAAGCTTTACCTTTAAGTCTGATAAGGCTAATAGATGGGAAACACACATTTCATTACGAAAATAACACTAAACTGATGATGTTATGATTTAAAAAAAAAAAAAAAAAACATCTTAAGAAGAAAGTTCTTCTTGTTTATTTTTCTAAAAATGATCAGTGAGTAATTCTAGTACAAGTCCAGGGTCAAGAATGGACCAACACAGCAAGAGAAGCGTCAGTCCTTTCACAGCTGCTCAAAGTGATCATTTGGGGCAAACATCACCACATTACTTCTTAGACCTTTACTTGAGGCTGATTAGGGAAGACACTTTCTTAAAAATAGAATCTGACATCAGGTAATCTTGAGGTAAGAAAAATTGGCTACACTGTAGATTCACACCTTAAAAATGAAGTAGAGGCATTGACAGTAACCAGGCCCTTCCAAACTATATATGCACTCTTTATGCTGTTCCACTTGCAACTGATTTGGAGTCTGACGCTTGAAATGGGCTGACAGAGTTTGTCTCCATGGCCAGGTAAACAAAAATCACGAATGTGGCCAAAATAGCGAACAGGGCCAGCTTTTTCCATAAAGTCATGCTGCACCGCACTGCTCTGGTTGGACCTGCAGATGGAGCTGTAACAGGAAGCTTGGAGGAGGAGGAACTAGAGGAGCTAGAAGATGTGAAGGAGGTGGAGGGATTCAAACTGGACATTCTGTTGACTGCATGGCTCCCTGTGTAGGAGTAGCTGCTGGTCTTTGTGGTTTTTGGAGACGGACAGGAATTCTCATCACTCCATAAGTCACTGGAGATTAGCGGGCGCCCAGCTGCTCCTCGGATGGGCTTTCGGCAGCTAGCGCTGTGAAAAAGAGTTCAGAATCAAGTTTCTCATAAACAACATGAATCAGGTCTAATAGAATTTTGCTTAGAGCTACACTACAACTCTCACCACTTACAGGTGCAACTTAAGATTACACCTTTATCAAGAAGAATTAGATCAGCTGACATCTGATAACAAAATAATCATACTAGTAAAATGAAAATCAATAAAATATTAACCTCTGACTGCTTTGCTGTTATTGGTTCAAAGTCCCAAAACTAAAATAAATGTGTAAAGGAAAGTGGGTCTATGTGCCTCACTTTAGCACATTTGTAGCAGAGCAGAGAAGCAAAGATGAAGACCTGAGCGAACAGCTTTTCTTTCACTAAACTGTTGTGCTGATGTTTCTTAGCTCAGAGGGGCCATGACAGGATGCTTAGACAGAAATGGCTCCAAACCTCAGACATGCAGCTTTCAGTTCATAACCAAGTCAAGTCGCTTATTTGTACATTTCAGCAACAGGCCAATTCAAAGTGCTCAACACAGTCAGTGTATCCAGGTAAACTAATATCCCATTGAAAAATGAATATATTTCATCGACAATAATGAAATCATAAACCTCATACAGATATTCAATCATCAATCAAACCACACAGACACACATAAGGTCCATCATAAACAAAAAGACAGAATAATAACAAAAAGACAAATACAATTTTCATCCACTGCCATATAAACTAAAGCGCCAGCGATTCCACAAACTAGAGAAGAACCTCACTGAGCTTTGAACAGGATTGGTCAAAGTCTGAATGACGCCGTTTACAGATCAGGTTAACCTATACTGTACATAAGATTTCCAAATGTAGCAGAACAGGTTGGTACACTATCATTTACAATCATCTGACTGGCACTACTCCATCGCTGCACCTCCAGCAGCATCCTCATGCCATCATTGTACGAGACCTGAAGATTATGCGTGCTGCTTTTTCTGTATTGCCGCCACAGCTGGCCAGTAAACATCGGAAAAAAATATGCCTTAAAGAGTGAAGTTTTGACATGGAGGGAGCATATAGAGAACTTTCAAAGAAGCATATTAGCTTGTGCATATTGCATACAACTCTGCCTGTAAATGTATCCATCAGCAGACAGGTCATCGGTGATACAATGTCACAAATATTTCACCTCATCACTGACTTGCAGGATGCTGCCAGAGTAAAGTCAAGGAAAGATAATCTAGCTTCCCATGCATAATGCTGCATTATGGATACACTGTGTGGTGGAAGACATTGGAAATGGGAGAATCAAAAGGGAAGGTCTTCTGCCCTATCATGATGATTGACTTATTGGTCAACTTAGTTAGTTATTTGGGTGTTGGCCATTTTCAGTTTTTGAAAGTATAGACACAAAGCATAGATAATATGAAATGTTTTAGAAAAGGAGACCTCTGGTTACCTGATTCCTGTTGGACTGTTTATATCAGGAAAAAGCTCCTTCAGAACATCTTTCTCCACTTTTAGCATCTGATCATTGGCAGTGATTTTCTCAACCTGCACAGAGAGAGCAAAATTAATTTGAACAGTGAATGTCAGCAGGTTTTATGACTGTCACATCTGGCCCTATAGTCACATTGGCACACAGCAGAGTTCCAACAATACACAAATATCATGGTTTGGTACATGTCTCTGCTTTAAAGTCATGGCTTGATAAACTTTATATATCCTGTAATCAAGAAAAAAAAATAAAAAAAGTATTAATTTAGTTTTACTTTGACATGAATAAAATAATGTTTTTTTTAATTTATGAAATCCATTTCCTTTTGCATCTCAAACTCCCAGTTGGTTGTAGCAGATGGCTGTTTGTACTGTGCCAGATTCTGGTTCTGCCGGAGGTTTCTTCATTTTAAAGAGCCGTTTGTCCTCTCCACTGTCGCTACATGCATTTTTGGTTTGAGGGATTGTTGTAAAGTCAACTACACAGTGCAAGTGATTGTCACTACAATTCATGGTTCCATTTTCCACATAATGTAACCGGTAGTGCTTATGATTAAAAAAATAATAATTATGTGATTGGTATCAGTGATTGGCCCTCATTGGTGATCGGAATCGGAAGGAAAAAACCTGATCGGCACATCTCTAATCATTACTATAAGGGAATAAATCAGAGAAAATTCCTGCTGACTGGAGGCAGACACGTAGCTTGCCTGCTGTCAGGAGTTTCTGTGTTTGATGGCTTATTGAAGGTTTTAGTGACATAAATCTAAAACTAGACAGAGGATCTCAAAGGTCTCCACACCCTGTGGAAAGCATGCTATGGAAACCATCCTTGATTATGTCAAAGCATTTTTCCACAACTGTGACATGCATTACATCCCTAACTGCTCTTGTAAAAAATATACTAAATATATACAATTGTAGAATACTTGCGCATATTTGAAGCCAGACTAATCATCAACATGCTTCAAGTTAGCTAAAGATTATTTGACTGGAAGAATGCTATTTTGGAACCACTAATTTTGTGCTTAATGTATTTTAATTGTAATTAAATTGTAGAAAATCACAATTCGAAGTGTACCAAGTGTACTATCAGCTGCTTTTTTGGAACAACTAGAGGTATACTTTGTGCACTTTAAGTATACAGCTTTTTATGCAATATAAACACGCTTAATGGTTGTTCAAATTTCATAATATCTACGACTTACATGCGAGCCTCTGTGTGAACTGCAAACAAGGTAAAAGTGTATGGGGAATTTTTTCTGCCATAAGTCGAGAGCACACATCTTCAGTCTGAAAACAGGACTTCACGTCTTTGTTCTCTAAACTTGTAATGCTTGTACTCAAAACTTTTGCTCTCTTTCAAATATTCATTGCTGGTGTGCTGTGGTGGTGCAGGGGTTAAGCACAACCCACATATGGAGGCCGTAGTCCTCGACGCAGCTGTCGCAGGTTCAATTCCTGGCCTTGGCGACCTTTGCTGCATGTCTTCCCCCTTCTCTCATTACCCACTTTCCTGTCAATTAACTCTCAAATAAAGGCCCCTAGAGCCAAAAAAAAATAATCTTTAAAACAAATATATATATTCATTGCTTTTTCAAACCTTTTCCTTGCGCTCAAAACTTGTCTCTGTTCAGTCAAATTTCCGCTTGCAAACGTCTCTGCTCGCTTGCAAATCATTTTCTGCTCACAACGAAAGCAAAAAAGTACCACCACCTGGCAATTCTTAGAAGAGGCTACAATAACATCACATGTAGCGAGTGTGCCAAGTACACATGGATGGTAATGATGGAGAATATTTGGCAATTTTATAGCTGTTAATTTCCTACTCATTATGGTCCACCATGGTTATTGTTTTCCTTCCCACTTGCGTGCATCAGGACTAAGAATCGTGACGTTTGTCGAGTACGAATGACGTTCAGGTCGGAATGAAACCTGGCCGTAGAGACACAGGTCACATTTGAAAAGATCAGAAACGTATCAGATTTAGGAACACATTTTCAAGTGGCCATTTGTCAAAGTTGTGTCTGTGTTTTCATGCAAGACTGTCATAAAAAGATCAGATACAGGTTGAATAAAAGCAAACAAATTGTTTCACTCTGATTTGGGTCACTTCAGGCTGCAGTGTGAATGTAGCCTAAGACACCACTCAACAGCACTGCAGAAAGTAGGACTATTGAGTAATCTCAGGTCTTCCCTGGTACAGCAGCTGTTTGGTTTAGTAGAGTCAGATTTCTTAACTATTTTCTTACCGCCTGGTTCTGGCTGCTGCTGCTGCTGTTGTTATGACTGCTAGCTGGGGACTTCCCTCTGTTCCTCACTTGAGTCTCCACCACTGGAACTAGTTCAGGTTCAATCACAGGTTCTGGTACTGCCACCGCTACTGCAATACACAATAAAGTCCATTACAACTGTCCCACAACAGCCAGCACATGCATGTCTCTCCATTAAGACAGACAAAAGATTTAGGTCTGTGTCAGTCTTCCACAGGCCCAATTTGATTTGATTTATATTATTTGACTTCTAAAGGCAGACTCAGTCTGACAGTACAGAAACACTAGACATGACTCGGGGTATAACAACAAACCCAATTGTCACTGTTACTGTGATTGTTTTGTTCTTTTGATTCTGAAGTGTGGCTCCAACTAGGAACATCCCAATTGGGTTTTTTGTCTCTTCAGTCCGAATCCTTTGATTCTGAGTATCGGGCGGTACAGAGTCCTGAGCCGATAATTCAAAATTACCTTTAGAAAAATAGGAAGCATGAAGAAAGAGATACAGTAGGTCCTTTATTTTTTGTTTTATTCTTTGCATGCTCTTGAAATACGAACGCATGTGTCCCTACCTCCCACTTCCAACAGTACTATTGATAGATACTGTTACGGTCCCATTTGTGTTGAGAATAAATATTCATATACATCCAATCCCTGATCGGGATATAGTGCCCGATTCCAATCAAGTCTGAAACTACTTGATCAGGCCAGATTTCCGGTCACATAGTCGGATCGAGACATCCTTAGATTCAACAAATAAATACGATTTTGTACCTGCATAGAGATCTTCATTCTGAAAAGGGAAACCACTAGAAGAATGGAGGACCAAACCGACATAATAATAGAATAAATAAAATAAATATATAGATAAAAGAATAAATGTATAAATAAAAGAATAAATATATATTTTGTCTAGTCTTGTTTTTGCTTCTCCCTTTTCTGCTTGCTGCATTTCTGCTTGGTCTTTTTCCGTTGACACTCCTGTCAAGTCATAATCAATATTTTAAATAATTTTAATGTTAAATAATCTAATGTCTTCTTCAATAGCTTCCATATTGTGTGCCACATTGACTAGAAATCAGTGTGTAACCAATCGCAATCGACCGGTGGATTGTGGAAGGTTTTGAGTCGATCTCTGCAGTAAGTGACAAACTGAATGCTGCCCAGAGGCTAAAACCAGCGCATCCTCTTCTGATTCACTTATCAAAATATTGATACATATATATATACATACATATACTTTTGTATATGTATGTATACATTTTAAAAGAGGCTAGTCTGTTTCATGTAAAAGCATG